AAACTTTTTACTTAGGAATTTCTAAGAAATCAACTGTTTTTTAGTTTTAGAATTTCATCATAAGAACAATTTCCATTCATTTGTGAAATTTACATTTTTACCTTTTTTCTTGATTTGAAAGTAAATGTAAATTATTTTTTATTAAAATTTCATCTAAATTTTTTACAATTATGATAATTTTAAAAGAAAACTTGTCATCTAGAAATTTCTAATAAATTAACCATTCTTGATTTTTAAAATTTTATCATTGGGATAATTATGATTTATTTGTAAAATTTAAAGTCTTTCATTTGATTTTTTGATTTATTATTTTTATTTGAAAATAAATGTAAATCACTTTTATTGAAATTTTCAACGAAATTTTTCATCATTTTGAAGAATTTAGGTAAAAATTTCTTACCTAAAACTTTTTAAAAAATCAACTATTCTTGACTTTATTAAAATTTCATCATTAGATAATTTATATTTATTTTCAAAGTATTTTTGTAAGTTTTTATTTAATTTTTAATTCTTGTTTATTATTTGAAAAAAATGTCAATTACTTTTATTAAAATTTTTAAACTAAACTTTCCACCTTTATGAAAAATTTGGGAGAAAACTTATCATCTAAAAATTTCTAAATCATACTATACTTGACTTTATTAGAACTTGATCATTGGATAATTTATCATTTATTTACAAAGATTCATAAAAATTACATTTTTGAGTTTACTAATTATTTATTTTTGGCTAACCTAATACTTTTTATTTTTATTTATTATATTATTAAGTAATTTAAAATCTATTCTAATTTAGAAATTTCTTTTTAATGAATTAAACTAATTAACAAACCTAAAAATAAAATAAAACAAATGAAATAAAAATACAAAACAAAAAGAGGAAAGCATGTGCAATTAGGACGAAGATGGGTATATATAGATCCTCTTATTCTTCAAACGATGCCGTTTAAGCTTGTTTTAAATATCTAAAATGTTATTAATTTTTAGTTTTTTTTTCTCTCTCTCTCTCTCTCTCTGTTCTTAAACTCCCTGAATTTTCTCTAAAACCCAAAGAACTAAGTCACAAAATCCAGTGAATGTTTACGGTGCCGTCCTTCATATGCCGCCTCCAACCGTTTTGCCAATACCAAAAAATTTAGAAGAAAATGCTCCCAGACCCCTTGAATCTCAAATATCATATCAATTTTCTCAATCATGTGCAATCAGGATGATGTTGATGATGCTGGGGTATATAGGGTTGAGTATCGGTTGAGATGAAGATTCTAGAATTTAAATTTTGTATTTAGAAATTTTATCTGCTAATCCAAATTTATTTTCAAACAAGTTTAATCCGACTTCAAATCTTCTTTGGCAGACTTTCAACAGTTTTGATATTGATATCCCTTATCTGATTTCCTTTTTTAATTTGATTTTTTATTTCCCCTTTTTGTATCTTTATCTTTTTTAAAAAATATTTTTATCCATAAATAAAATAAAATAACAAAAATACAAAACAAATTGAAACAAGCAAAAAATGGTTCATATCAAAATGGGCCTCCATACCTAATCCAAAAAAACACTCTAGTCCAAATGATGGTAGTTCAAAGCTCATTTGCATATCAAAACTTTAAATGGGCTAAGATTAGAGGTTAATTAAAAAAATATAAATCAAAATTTTAAATATTAAAAAACTCCAAACTAATATAGATGTTTACAGTATGTTAAATAATTAATAATCTAAATTAACAATTTAGTGATCGAGATCAAATTATCAACCATAATAATCAAACTATTTATAATCACAAAAACAATCACAATCGTAAGTTAACACTAATTAAAATAAGACACCATGATTTTTGAAGTGTCAATGAAATTGTTATAAATATTTGTTAAGATCAAAATTTTGAAATAATAATGAAATTAGCTAGATATACCATCATTTCAATCAATAACTTTAACTTAGTTATTCAAAAAAAAAATACTTAATTATTTAATTTAAGAAAAAGATAAATAGATCCGGAAAAAAAAAAGGTAGGATATGCATATAAAGTAATGTTGAAAAATAAAAGATAACTTAGGAAAAAATAAAATAGTTTCTTTATTGTATATTGCGAACATATAGAAAAATAGATAAAATATCCTATAAGAATTGCAATTATGTTGTTTGGAAGAAAATGATTCTATTACAGCAATGCAAAAATATGAAAAAATTAATAATAGCTAAATGTTCATTTTGATCTCTAAACTTTGAGAATTCCTTAAATCAGAATCTAATTTTCTAATTTTAATAAATCTGGATATCATTTATTCCAAAAGTAACAATTAAAGACTTCAAATTTAATGGATGAAATTATAGGCAGTGCACTATACTGTTAGTTTTGACAGATGACTGATATCTCAACTAAATAAAATATTTTTTATAAGGACAAAATAATATTATATATATAAATTACTTCTTATAAAACAAAATTAATTAAAATTTTAAATAAATATGATAAATTTCTTTTAATACAGGATGTTGTTTTTCTATTTTGTTGTTGCTCTACATATCCTTTTTCACATTTCTTTTTTTTTTTTTCTTGTTTGGCAGAGCTTGCTTATACAACGGTGGTAACTGAAAAATGTGATGTTTATAGTTTGGAGTATTGGCATTGGAAGTGTTGATGGGAAGCCATCCCAAAGAGCTCTCATCATTGCTGCCATCAAAGCCCCTTTTGCAAAACATAATGTTAAACGATGTATTAGACCCTCGTCTATCACCTCTAACAAGTTATACAGTCATCAAAGATATTGTTCTTGTTGCAATACTAGCATTCGCACGCTTATCTATAGAACCAAAGTGGCGACCAACGATAAAACAGGTTCCTGATGAGTTTCTTCGTCAGCTAAGGCCTTTGGCAAAGCCTCTTGTAGAAATTTCATTGTTGCAAATCATGGATCCTGAAATAAATGTGGAAGGCAAAGGGTGCAAATAATAGTCTTTACATCATGCATGATGGCAATTAGGGTGATTGTTTTGCCATCTTAGATCTCATGTTGAACTTCAATTTTAAATTGGAAAGAATTGTTTTTTTTTTTTGTACTTTTTCCCCTTTTAGATTTCATTTGTTTCAATGGAGAACGATTTCTGAAAGTTATAATTTTCACAATTTTCTGTATTTGAATATCAAAAAATGACCAAATCAATAGAACATAATTTTGAAAACAGTTTTTTAGTCAAAGGCAAATAATATCAATTTTGAGGAAATTGTCTTGCGAAGTTTTAGTCTAAAAAACAATTAAGCAGTTTTCTTGCTTTCTAAAGTACTCTACAAGTAGGCAAAAAAATAAGGTTGGAAAGTGCAGATGAACATGCACCAAAATACAGGGAAAATAAAACTGCTCTTTGTCTATACCATCAAAGAAAAAATTCTCCAATTTGGTCCAATGGATTCTGTTTCCCATTCCAAGTCAAAGGACGTGAAAGACATTAAGGTTTGTTGTTACTGAGAAGTAGCTAGCATTATTACCTAATTCCTAGACCATAGAACACTTCAAAGTTAATCTGTATGAGTAGTTACCACATTTAATATGACCTTTTCCATGGGCTTATCTCGTTGGAAAGATAGAACATTTCGAAGAAAGATAGAAGAAAAGACTTTGACTCTAAAAATTGGTTATTTTTTATCATTATTATTTTGTTTGTTTAATTTCCGTAAGACTTCGACTCTTAAAGTTTTCATGTAGCAAACTAACATCTGTTTCTTTTCTTTTTTTTTTTGGATTCTAATACAATTATCAATTATGCAAAAAAAAATTAATAGAGACAATTTCTAAAACATTTTGAAAGAAAAATTTTCAGTTTTTACATAACATTTCATCGGAGGTATTTACTGCAAGCTTATTATACATAGAATAAAATTGGTAACTTTCCAACTATAAAAAATACATCCAAATTGAAGAAATTGTGTGGTGGAGAAGAAAGAGCAAGTACATGTTGTCATTTCTTTGAACTTTCTTTGCAATAATATGATTAATCAATTAGAAAAGGAGACTTTAAGCAAATATCCAAGAAAAAGCTAATCCACATTGGATCCTTTTCTAACTTACTGTTAGCTTTTAGAGATAGAAGACGTGAAAAATGTGGCTGTTGCTTGCACTTGTCTAAACACAATGCTACAATATGTGAAATGATCTTGTTTATTTGGCTGCTATGGTATACAGAAATTCTCCACTTTGATCCAACGTGTTTTCTTTTCTATTTGAAAATAGTAGTTAATAAACATGTACTCCTGTTCAATGGAAAACGTATGAAAAATGTGGCTGTTACAGGTACATGTTTTTGCTTCCTTTGTGAGGAGAAAAAAAACAAGAAAGAATAAAAGAAATAAAAGAGATGGCCTGCCTTAAAAATTAAGGATAGTTAAGGGATGAGACGAGTGTTTTTCTCGCATTGAATCTAACTTGAAATTTTAATTGTTTCACGTGAATACACTCTATCTTGATTTCCTGTTATTATTTTTGGTATTTAATCTCAACCCAAAAATATATGTGTAATTTCCATTTGATTCAACTGATTCAAATTTAATTTATTATAAGTTTTATTAAAAAAATAATTTTTAATATAAATTACATCTTGGTTATATATATATATAAAAAAAAAAACTTTAATTTTATGGCCAAAAACAAAAGAAAAGAAAGAACGGTTGAAGTATTAAAATCAAAGTGAGGATTGAGTTTTTTAGACTGGTAAATATTTTACCTTATACCTTATGCATTTTAGAGGTTAGCTACCAACAGGGAAAGATACTTGTCTTTTTCAAGTCATCTAAACACGGTATTGCAAATCTATGCACCAAATTGCTGGGAAAATGCATTATTCATACGTATAATTCCATGACATCTACAGAACAATCAATGATAACAACTGACTAACTAAAGGTAGAAGACCTCGACTTCTCCATCTCCATATAAATTCATTAGTCTCTGGAAATCATAACATGCTACAACTGAACCTTTACCAGATATTCAAGCTAAATAGACATGGCCTCATTCTTAACCAATTCCATCTTTCTAGGGGTGTTGTGGAGTACCATCCTTCTTTCCTTTGCTAAAACCTTTTTAGCAGCAATATCTTCACTGGAATCAGAAGCTGTGGCTTTGCTAGAGAGTGGCTGGTGGAGTAGCCATAGCAACGATACTTCACAATGTTGCAAGTGGCCCGGAATTTCATGCAACAATGCAGGAAGCATCACCAAAATTAACCCATCTGCTGATGTGATTCAGGTTGGTGATAGATTTGGAAATTTGAATTTCTCTTCATTTCCGAATCTTGTCCTTCTTAACCTTAGCCATCATAAAGTTGGAAGAAATATCCCGCCTCAGATAGGTGATCTCTCCGCATTGAAGCACTTGGACTTGTCATATTGTCAGTTATCCGGTGAGTTACCTTCTTCCCTTGGAAACCTAACCCAATTAGAGTTTCTTGACATTTCAAATAATGACAACATTAATGATTCCATCCCTCCACAACTAGGGAATTTGAAAAATCTTGTTAGTTTAAATTTGAGTGCCAACAGTCTTAGTGGCTCCATCCCATCAGAAATTGGAAATCTAAGGAATTTAGTTGCTTTATACCTCCAAGACAACAAAATTGTTGGTCCAATGCCTTCCACTTTATATCAATTAACCAATTTGTCTGATCTGTACCTTGATAATAACCAAATTGAAGGTTCCATCCCTCAAAATATTGAAAATTTGATGAACCTCAGGTTTTTAAGCATCACTAATAATAGATTTACTGGTCTTATTCCTCTAGCTTTATGTCGTTTGACAAAATTGGAAGAAGTTTACCTTGTCCAAAATGAAATCAATGGTTCCATTCCTTCAGATATAGGAAAGCTTGGCAACCTCGAATCTCTAAATTTCGAAGGAAACTACCTCACTGGCCTTATCCCTTCTTCTATTGGTAATTTATCAAAATTGCAATTTCTGTCACTTGATTCAAATATTCTAGAAGGTCCTATACCAAAAGAACTTGGGAATTTAAATACAATAATTCAATTATCCCTCTTTGGAAACAAATTGAATGGTTCAATCCCTTCTTCTATTGGTAATTTATCAAAATTGCAAGATTTGTCCCTTGATTCAAATCTTCTAGAAGGTCCTATACCAAAAGAAATTGGGAATTTAAATGCATTAACTCAATTATCCCTCTTTGGAAACAAATTGAGTGGTTCAATCCCTTCTTCTATTGGTAATTTATCAAAATTACAATATCTGTTCCTTTATTCAAATCTTCTAGAAGGTCCTATACCAAAAGAAATTGGGAATTTAGAAGCACTATATCTATTAGACACCTCTGAAAACAAATTGAGCGGTTCTATACCTTCACAAATTGGGAGTTGCTTAAATTTGCGGCAGTTGGATCTAAGCAGCAATAATTTCGAGGGGGAGATCCCTCCTCAAATAGGCAAGCTTTCAAAGCTAAAATTTTTAAATCTCAGCTACAACAAACTCATAGGTGAAATTCCTATCTTGTCTGCCACTAATCTTAAGAGTTTTTGTACCAGTAATGGTTATATAACTATCTATCCCGATCCATTTGAAGGTAACAAGGCTTTATCACTCTACCCCTGTTTTTCACCAACCAATCAAACCAAGAGCAGTAGAACTCCTTACTTCACGAAAATATTCCTCCCTATTGCCATATTCCTTACTTTTTCTATTCTAGGGAGTTTGTTTTTGTGGCGGTTCAAGGCCAAGAAGAACCAATCTGGTTCACAAACCAAAAAAAATGGGGATTTGTGCTCAATATGGAACTTTGATGGAAGGATAGCATATGAAGATATTATTGCAGCAACAGAAGATTTTGATATTCGATACTGCATTGGAATTGGGGGTTACGGAAGTGTTTACAAAGCACAACTACCTTGTGGCAGAATAGTTGCTCTGAAAAAACTCCATCACCTAGAGGCTGAGGATCTGGGTTTCGACAAAAGTTTCAGGAATGAGGCAAAAATTTTGTCTGAAATTCGACATCGAAGTATTGTGAAGCTTCATGGATATTGTCTACACCGGAGGTGCATGTTTCTGATATATGAATACATGGAAAGAGGAGGCTTGCTCTGCATCCTAAGTAATGATGATGAAGCTGTGGAGTTGAATTGGGTAAAAAGGGTTGAGATCATCAAATCGGTTGCTCATGCCTTGTCTTACTTGCACCATGATTGCTTCCCTCCAATTGTTCATCGAGACATTTCAAGTAACAATATTATACTAAACTCAAGCTTGGAGGCTTTTGTTGCTGATTTTGGAACCGCTAGAATGCTACATCTTGATTCATCTAATCTGACTGTTCTTGCCGGTACAATTGGCTATTTAGCACCAGGTAATTTTTTGTTTATCTTCTATTACATCATTGGCTTTTTTTTCTTTTCCTTTTTCAATATTGATCCTCCTTTGATTATATTTGTTTTTTTTTTCAAAATTATAGTATTTGAGTGATGATAAAAAAGAAAAAAATCACACATCAATCCTGAACATATAAATATAACAATGAACTTTATATTTATTGTCAATTAATTTTAGGTTAAACATATATTTCAAAATTTAATAGATAGGGATTTAAAATAATAACTAAACATTATTACTAATTATTTTTTTTATTAGGTTATCATGTTTTATTTTTCTTTTTCATGCATGTAATTTGTTTATGCAGAACTAGCCTACACAATTGTTGCAACTGAAAAATGTGATGTATATAGTTTCGGGATTTTGGCATTAGAAATATTAATGGGAAAGCATCCTGGAGAACTTTTGTCATCATCATTGTCATCGCCAACTTCTTTGCAAAATATCAAGCTAATTGATGTGTTAGACAAACGCCTACCACCTCCAACAAGCCAACTGGTTGCACAAAATATTGTTCACGCTGCTACACTGGCATTTGCTTGCTTACATACAAAACCAAAGTCTCGACCAATGATGGAACAAGTGTGCAAAGGGTTTCTTTCTTCCCAAAAATCTTTGGGGATTCCTCTCCAAATGATTACTTTGTTGCAACTTGTGAACCATCAAATGCTTATTGGTGGCCAAAGTGGAACTTGTCCCGTTTAATGCTGGTAACTAACTAACTTCGTTTGTAAAATTTTTTATATATTTGTAGTTTATGGTTATTGTCATCTCTTGTTGTTTAATCCTACTATGAAATAATTAGAAAATTTTGAATATGCATGCAATTCACGTGTATTTGTTTAAAATGGGTCCCTTTTATCCTCTTAGTCATTTTGTTTAATTTCACTTTGGAATTACTTGATTTAACCAGGCCATATTTGATCACTCTAGAGTAAAAAATTCATATTTACTTCTTAATAAAATAATATTATATGATGATATGATATTTATATATTAATAATACATCAAACATTTATTAAAGAAGTAGTAAAAGAAATCTTGAACGAATAAAGTTTTAATTCAATTAATTTATGTAGTCATTTTAAAAAAATAACATCTAATAATTTTAGAATTAAAATATCAATACTTACAATTTCTCTTATTTTTAAATTAAGACTCATAATGCTTTTATTTTTGTTTTCGAGATCATTCACAAATACAAAACAAATTAACCGGCAATTGAATATTAAATTTGATTGTCAACGAAAATATTTTTAATAGAAAATATCGTATCATTAAAGTAGGGGTCAATAATAGCCGAAATAAGTCAATATAATACATAAGTAACCAAATTGTAATTGTTTAAGCTATTACTCCTACTTTATAGCTAGCATCATGCCATCAAATTGCTCAATCATGCAAAGGGCCGAACTTTGATAGAAGCATGAGGATAATCACTTTGTCTCATTATGAATATTTTATAATCCTATAGTTGCAATAACTTGATTGCTTTCTTGTAAAGTTAAAACTCAACTCTTATCTTCTTTTTATTGTTCATTCAAAGGTACCACACATCATTTGAAGTTTTGAATTAAAACTTGAGCGGTACCTAATTTAGAATTTAATTAATTAATTAGTTGTCTTAGACAACAAAAAAGTCTTGGCATCAATTTTTTTGTGCTTGATTGCTTAAATTTTTTTATGTTAAAATTATTAAAATTTTAATTTTAATTATTAAAATTAAAAATTTAACATTTTATCAATATATTACTTAATTATTGGTATAGTTAACTAAAATTAAAATGCTATTTACTTTTATGTTCTAAAAAATCCAACTAAAAGGAAAATGTCACTATGATTGTGAAGTTTAAGATTCCAACAAGAGTGTTTCAAGAGTTGGAAACAAAAAGGAAAAGGACAACACAAAATCAAAATTTGCACAAATCTATTTAAATTACGGTGGTTGTCTGTAGAGTCTAGACCCATTTGGTCCACAAGGGATGAATGAGATGATTAACAAAATTATCCAATTAATTTAAGATCAATAAATGCATTAAATTAATCAATAAATAAATAGCATGAAAATTGATGTGATCTGGGGTTTTGAGAGTCTTCAGCTCTTGAATGTTTGAATTAACCTGACCAGTTTCCTTTCTTCATTCCCAAAGTAAAACCCACCGTTGTTGTTAGCTGGTAATGGACGTTGGGCATCTAAAATAGGTCCAATCGTTAATAATTTTGTCCAAAATACTTTTAAACCTAGTTGACCTAACACCCACACATCAAACCTTTTAACTATATATCTCTTCATGGTTGGAACAAACAAACTCTGGCAACAAATGCTTTCATTACCATGAATTGAGTAATCTAGCTTGTGAAGTAAAATTACCAAAAGTAGATCCATTCATTATTATAAATTTAGAGTTTAACTAAATTGGTTTATATGATCATATTTAACAAATTTAAAATTCAAATTTTAACATCTATAATTCTTTATCCTATGTTTCTTTTATTAAAAGAATGATTAAAAGTGCAATCAAAAGTTGATGTCTCAATTAAAATTTCGTTGGCCATATCAAATGTAAGAAGAATTTCCATATCAGTTGTATCAAGAATAATCTATTCTCCTTTGGTTATAGCCCACTATGATAAGACCCATTTTAAGTAAACCTGAAAGTCTGGACAATGATCCTGGGTAATCTTTGAATATGGGCTAACTATTTACGAAGGTTTCTCCAAGAATTAGTGCTTGGACTATGAACAGCGACTGCAATGAGGGTTTCAACTTGTTGGTAGCGTGGTTCCAAATGACAATATTATTATCCCTCCAAAGACAGATTATGCCATTAATGCAAGAATCCTGACTATGAATGTGCTAAGCAATTCTATCAAAGAAACTCGGAATTAGGTCGAGATGTTAAATTTCTCTGACAATCTAGTTAGAATCTCAGACATTACATAGCGCTGCAGTTCAAACCTCTAAGCAGTAAAACGACAGATTTTTGGGCTAAGTTAAACGTCAAAACGAAGTCATTTCAGTAGAGTATTAAAGGCAAAAAACCCTCTTTTTCCTCATATTTCTCCTTCTCTCTCTTTCATCTTCTCTTTTCTCTCTCTTTTTCTTTACCACCCGAAGAACTCCAATAAAATCTTCACCATATTTTTAAAAAAGTCATCGAAATTTGAGTTGATTCGTTGACAGTTCGCTAAAAAATTCAAACTTCGTTAGAATCTTCTATTGGATTCTAAAACCTAGTCAAAAAATTCAAGCAGCATCAAAAAATTTAGCGGAATCTGAAAAATTTGTTGGAATCTGGAAATTTTTCAAAAAATTACCAGAAAAGAAAAAAAATCCTTTTTTTAAACCCAAAAAATCCTCGAAAATTTTTTAACTGCTTTCTTCTTTCCTCTGTCTTTTCTAATACGTGTGGGTATGTATTTATATGGTTTAAATTGAAAGAACTCTAAACCAAAAAGGGTTTAACCCTTCTAAGTTTTAACTCTAAATTTTAATTCAACTTAAACTCTTCAAACAATTTTACACAAACTCAACCTGCCAAATTTTTTCTTTTTCGTTTTTTTTTTTATTTTTATTTTTTATTAACAAATTAACTCAAGTAGAATACCAAACAGATTGGGGTGTGTACAATCTGCATTAACTTTAAAATGTTCTCTTGTTTATTAACTCATCTAAGGGTGCTGCAACATTATGTTTACTGGCAGATTCCAGGAGGAAATGGTTCTGGTGCTGTCTGGGATCAGCAGGGACATATCGTGACAAATTATCATGGTAAGAGCTAATAAATGAACCATAAGTACTATTTGTTTCCATAGCATGATTATTTAAGGAATCTCAATTACATGAGAATCCTAGTTGATGCCTAATTGAAACATCCCCCTATGTAATGTTAATCTATAATCAATGTCAACTATATCAGATTAACCTTCTTCCTTTATATTTTTCTTCTATGACTTTCCTGTCTCCTCTTTTGTTATCTTTTCTAGGTTAACTATTTTGTTTTCCATGTTCAGTGATAGGTAATTCCCTTTCAAGAAATCCAAGTCCTGGGCAAGTTGTTGCAAGGGTTAATATCCTAGCATCAGAAGGGTGAGATTTGCAGTGCCCTTAGCCTTTGCTGGTAAATTGAGTTGCATTATCTGGTATTAAGTTTTTGACTGCTGCAGCAGTTTCTCTGATAGTTTAACTGCTTTTTTATAGGGTACAAAAGAATTTTGAGGGTAAGTTGATTGGTGCTGATCGCACTAAAGACCATGCTGTTTTAAAGGTAAGTTTTCCTTTGATTTTCCTGTAAAGTACTGCCTGAACTGCATCATTGGTTGGTCTGATTATATTACAACCTACACCAATATATGCTTACCTTTTTGTTTGACATACTCAATCAATTTGAAACTGGAAATTCAGATCTACAATCTACATAAGTAGACCATTGATTATGGTTAGTAGAATTTATGTTAACCAAATTAATCAAAAAGATGTGTAACCATCTTTAATTGTTTACACAGGTTTAAGATGTCCATAACTTGTGTATATATGCATGCTCACATCATTGCACATCAATTTCAGAACTAGTCTACTCTCACAAGAGAAGTTATGCAGGCCTATTTATATCTGAGCTTCAATGTTTATCACTGAATGTTTAATGAATAATTTTAACATAGAAACTGCAATTTCCTAAACAATGAGATGAAGAAAAATATCTGTACTAACTCAAAATTAGAAACAAATGGACATCTCCTTTGTACCAAAATGGAAAAAAAAATCTATATTACCTGTAATAGCATAGGCTTGATCCGTTTATCCATCCAGCTAATGTTGTTCTTATTGTGCATATACTCTGCAGTATGCTAATTTGCTGAAAGTTTACAAGCAACTGGTTCTGATCTCTTCAACATGCTAGGTAGAAGCCTCTGAAGATTTGTTGAGGCCAATTAAGGTAAGGCAATCTTCTTTTTTAAGAGTAGGACAGCAATGTCTAGCAATTGAAGATCCATTTGGTTTTGATCATACCCTTACGGTTGCAGTTATTAGTGGATTGAATCGAGACATTTTTAGTCAAACTGGATTGACGATTGGTGGTGGAATTCAAACAGATGCAGCCATAAATCCAGGAAACAGGTTCACCAAATTATTTGTCTAATCCTCAGTATCCTTCTTGAAACTTTAAAGTTAATGTCTTTAAACAAGTTCTTCACTGCTTGCTATTTCTTGGCTTTCTTTATTTATTACAGTGGAGTTCCTCTTTTGGATCAAAAGGAAATCTGATTAGGATTAATACAGCTATATTTACACAAAGGTCATTGTACATTCCGTTTTTTAGTTGCATATGTTATCGAATATTGATTCTATCTTGATGAGAAGATAGATTTCATGATTAGATGTTTCCCTTGGCCAAAAATAATAGTAATAATAAAAGCTAGCAGCTTCTTGTGTAATGCGTTCTGATTTTGTTACTTGTATTTCAGGTACATCAGCAGGTGTAGGATTTGCCATCCCATCCTCCACAGTGCTGAAGATTGTACCTCAACTGATCCAGTTTGGCAAAGTAAGCTTCATTACTATATATAAATCCAAGGTCAAGTTCTTGGTCTCCTCTTATTTTTTGATCTTTGCTGTCCCCTTTTTGCCACTACTTCTCAATAAAGACCTTTTGCTTTCACCTTCTCTGCATTTTAACCATCATTACAATCATAATTATCCAATATTTGGGGGTAAAAGGATGGGTGTTATTACTGAGAGTAGAGCATCTGAACAACTTTAACCTAATGTTACCCTGAATGAACAAGCTCGACTGCTTCATATCTCACTGTTCATCCTCTATCAGGCTGTTCGAGCAGGTTTGAAT